GAGCAGTAACAGGCAAACTGCCAGCCCCTGGGAGACAGATCCCATACAGGAAGCGGACGGTACTATTCCGAGAAGGATCAGGAAACCGTCTTCGATGTGGGGATAAACGTGGAACTGTGACAACGGATGTGTTGGCAGAAAATTTGAGGTCTACTGAATGGAAAGAGAAAGCACAGGGACCCTGGGCGGCTAGAACTGGATATGGGGGAGGCCATCGTGACCCAGGCCTCTGATGGGTGTGCACACATGGCACACCAACTCCTCCTGCTAACAGTCCCACTCAGAGTCCAGTGGCCAGCTCCTGTCCCCCCAGGTAAGAGACTGTGAAATCTTCTCTCTGAACATTAAAGCAGCATGGGTGAAAAGTGCAGAGATGCTGAGGATGAGACTTCCACAGCCCACCGCGGCACCTAGTTATCAACAGCTGGAACTATGGCCCTTGCAGTTGGGTTGGGCTATAGGGAAGGCGATACCCACTTCAGGCTCAGAACTTCTGGTCAACCTCTTAAAACAGTAGCTCTAAACATGATACACAAGGATCAGCAGCAACCAAGAGAATACAAAGGAAAAAGAGGCAAATAAAAGTAACTTTCAAAAAGCTTTAAAATATTACTCCTCAGAAGTTCAAGGGCATCCCTGGCTTTTTATCAAGCCCCCTTTCTTTTTTTTTTTTTTTAAAGATTTTATTTATTTATTATGTATACAACATTATGCTTCTGTGTATATCTGCACACCAGAAGAGGGCACCAGATCTCATAATGGATGATTGTGAGCCACCATGTGGTTGCTGGGAATTGAACTCAGGACCTCTGGAAGAGCAGTCGGCACTCTTAACCTCTGAGCCATCTCTCCAGGCCCTCAAGCCCCCTTTCTTAAAAGGAAAGAAAAGAAAAGAAAGCATTCCCACTTATACCTAAAATAACTTAGAAATCATAAATCAAAAAGAGTATGACTGAAAAAGATTGCACTCAGAGGGGAAAAATAGCTCTTGAAACAATATTGCAAAAATGAACGACTAAGTTCATTGTGCCAGCCTTTAATCCCAGCACTTGGCAGGCAGAGGCAGGCAGATCTCTGTGAGTTTAAGGCCAGCCTGGTCTACAAAGCTACATAGAGAAACCCTGTCTTGAAAAAAAATACAAATGGTTATAATTTTTCCTGGTCATAAAATACCACATATACTTCAAAGGCAAGTAGATGACAAGTAAAGGAGAAATATGAAGAATGAATTTAAATCACCATAACTCTACAACTCAGAAATAGCCATCCATCTTCTGTTTCCATATTCCTTCTATCTAAAAACTAGATAAGCCTTGTTAGTACACAGGGCATGCCATTGATACCACCCACAAATAGCTTCCAGAATACTTGGAGTTGTTTCTTCTGTGTTTAAATAAATGTTTACCTCTCCTAATCATCAATTACACTGGCCACTGTAACAATGATGGCAAACTTGAAACAATTCAATAGGAACTGGTTGAACAGATAAGAATATATTTATTCTATGGAACACTGAGTGACCAGCTTTTAGAAATTGCTATTGAGCCGGGTGTTGGTGGTGCACACCTTTAATCCCAGCACTCGGGAGGCAGAGGCAGGCGGATCTCTGTGAGTTTGAGGCCAGGCTGGTCTCCAGAGTGAGTGCCAGGATAGGCTGCAAAGCTACACAGAGAAACCCTGTCTTGAAAAACAAAAACAAAAAAAAAAAAACAAAAAACAAAAAAGAAAGAAAGAAAGAAAGAAAGAAAGAAAGAAAGAAAAAAGAAAAAGAAATTGCTATCGCAGGGATGTGCTTATTGAAACATAAGAACACTATGTCAACAGGGAAGCATTTCTGTTTGCCATTGTTACATTTTAAATACTTTTAATGGAGGGGCAACATGCAAAATTATATAGATAGCACTGTCCTTTTATTTCTGTATGGAAAAAAATTCTGTGCCAGGCATTGAGCTAACATCTTCATATAATTCTCATATAGTCTTTAGGGTTTCGGGTAGCCAGCCTAGGGTGACCTCACATTTGTTATTCGGTCACTGCCAGCTTTGAACTCCTGATTCTCCTGTCTCCACTTCCACTGAGCCCGAAGCCAGCCATGACTGTATAATAAACTTGTGGTCATCCTGGTTTACCTGTGACTCCGTATCCTCTCAATCCCCAAAGAGACAAATGCTAACCAGCTCAGACTCAGCTCTCTCCTTGTGTCACGCCAGTCCCTGCCGCCTCCCCATAGGACCAATCACTGGCTCGCTCTTCTACCCCATATGGTTAGCACTCCCCCTGCTCCAGCCCGGGGTCTGGTGATAGCAGGAATGAAGATATTCTAGAGATGCTTGTACTCTTCCCCTGGGATATCAAACTATTGAATCAGTACACCCCAAGAAGTTGGAATTTGCCCGGAGTCTCATGCTGGGAGAAGCAAAGGGCTGATACCTTGGTGCCAGCCAGGGGAAGAAATCTTCCAGAAAGAGAGTTCACATGGCTCTGACACTTCACCAGACCGCCTTGCAGGAGAGACTGTTGCTAAGCTGAAGATGGGTCAGTGACGGGCAGAACCACACCTTGACCAGGCATGCTTGGTTACTGTGCCTCTTGCCTTATTTAACTTAAACCTCATGCCAGCCCACCCCCCCAGGCTAGAGCTCCCAAGGGCATAGTGTCACTGAGGCTCTTCCTTTTCTCGGTGTAGTCACATTGAATAAATACCCTTTATCTGTTTTTTTTTTTTTTTTCAGTGTCATGTCTGTCTAGTTGACCTACTGAGTATGGGTGGCTGAGGCTCAGTTGCTAGGGCTGCCAGGTTCTGTTCATAACGGCTGGGGACCAGAACCAAGGACAGGGACAGAGCTGAGTCAAGGCAGGGAAGATGGAATTCTGCTAGGGAATGAAGGCGTGAAGAGTCGAAAACACTCAGGCACAGGAACATTTCTTCCATTTGTGGCATCCAAGATAAAAGAAAGAGGAAGAGAGAGATTGCCTGAAAGCCCTTCAGAAGAAATCCCCCAGTTACAATTACATATAGCTAGTGCCAGAGGCAGGGCTAAATCTGAAGCTACACACAGACAACCTTTTACTTCCTCCCCCAAGATTACACTGGATACAGAATGTTTTGACTTGAAATGAATGGTTTTGTCTCATTTTGCAAACTCAGTGAGTTTCTGAAGTGAGCAGATAGTCAGGGAGTATACAGGAGAGCCCCAGAGTCATGCCCCCGATGCTGCCAGGGTTGTCAAGGGTTACAGCTGCCAGCCCCACACTGGGAAAGGCCTTCAGAGCTCTCAGGCCTGGTGCAGCATGCATGGACTCTTGGAACTCTTTTGCCGTTTTGTAACTAGGTTTGAGTTGTTTTTGGAAATCTTACTGCATCATCAGCATTTGTGTGTCTCGTGTAGAAGAGGACTGCATTATCACTGACCAGCAGGTTAACCAATTCTACTTGGCCTTTGATTCATTCCTAAACTCATTATCATCACAGCCTGTGATTCCCGGGCAGTTACTCATTAGTACCTGAGCGGGAAGCCCATTTCCATGGGTGGGACCCAGCTTGGCTTATCTACTCCCACATAGCCTAATGATGCCAGCATGATCTATTTCTTAATTTTATTTCCCGGGGGTGTAAATTCCTTGAATTCCTTCACCCCTGACTCCTGATTAGCTTAAACAACAGCTAGATAGCTAAGCTAACTCCTGTTACCAGCTGAAATACACTCATTCTATTGTTGTGATATTAGAAATGAGAGTGTGGGATATTATCCAAGCAATTATTTCATTGTACAAAAAGACGCTGAAGCATTCTGAAGTGACTCACTTGAGTGGGGGCAACTCGCTTGTAAAAGGCCTGCTTCAGTTAGGTGAGGCCCCGAGAAGGCAGAGAGGCGCCAGCTAAATACCTTCCACAGGGACCATCCTGTCAACTGTTTCTGTTTCAGCTATAGGCTGGAGGCTGGCCCCTCTGCACTGCCAGGTTCCCCACTGAGCTGCAGAGCAGGAGAAATCTAAATAGGATGATGGGTTCATGGTTCAGCTCACACTTTTCCAGCTTGATTTATAGCTTTCTAACATCTACCCATGGGGTGGAGGAGTCCTCACTGGTTTATTCTTCTCAAGGGCCTTACAAATATTAGGAGCCTGAGCAGGGAGAGAGAGAGAGAGCACTGCGAGGACTGAGGGATTGCCCCCCTCCCCATTAAAGAATCTCGATACAGTGGGTGCACACTTGTAGTCCCAGCACTGGGAGGTTAGATACAAGGGATCCCTGCCGCTTGATGGCCAATCAGACTAGCCTATTTGGAGGAATTCTGGCCACTGAGAGACCCTGTCTCGAAACATAAAATAATGGCTACTGAGAAACAACACCTGAAGTTGGGCTTGGACCTCCACACTCTTGCATATAGCGCGCACACACACACACACACACACACACACACACACAGAGGCACACACACGCATACACAGGCACACACACACACACACACACACACACGCACACACGCACACACATGCACACGCACACACATATGCACAGGCACACACACACACATGCATATACACACGCACAGGCACACACACGCACATGCACGCATGCACACACACACATATGCACAGGCACACACACACAGGCATACACACACGCACAGGCACACACACACGTGTATATATATGCATATGTACCAGAACACGCATTTAGACATGCACATAAACACATGAGAGAGAGAGAGAGAGAGAGAGAGAGAGAGAGAGAGAGAGAGAGAGAGAGCCCTGTAGCATTTGAGTCCCTGGTTCGTCATGTCCCCTGCATTTCTCTTAGCTTAATTTTATAAGCAAGCAAAGAACACATTTCCCCCTAAGCCAATATGGAATTTTGTTACCTTCAACCAAGCATCCTGGTTCATCACTTACTCTTCCCTCCAAGCAGCTTCCTGTCAATGCAGCGGCATCCAAGCAGACCTCACTGACGCCATAGCAAGTCGAACCCAAAATCCATGAAGAGCATTTTTACCTACCTGACCCCAAAAAACACTTGCAAGAGGGTGCAGATGCCAGAGACAAAGAAAATGGTGCTGATGAGGTAGCTTTGGGTCAGGGGGTCATGCTGCAGGCACAGGTCCTTGGCTAGAATGAGTGGCACAGCCACGAGGCCCCCCAGGGCTGTGAGGAAGTGCTGTGGACAGAGCAGAAAGAAAGATGCTGTCGGCTGCATCTTCACCCTCCTAGGCAGAAGTGCATGCTCCCCAGGGACTCGCTCCCACAGCCAGGAGAGAAATCCCTGACGCTGATCCCCGAGAGACTGACAGTGAGGGGCAGGCAAAGATCCAGAGCAGCAACAAGTACTAGGAACTTCTGTCCTAAGAAGCCGAGACCCAGCCAGAGAGACTGGGCTGTGAGCATGAGGCCGCTGCACTGGGAACTGTGGCCCTGAGAAAGAAGGATGGGGACACAGGCTCAGGGGGATAAGATAGGACTAAGTGGGAGCCTTAAGATCACAGCATGGTGGGTGTGAGCAAGGGAGACCCCAGTGTGAGCTTGGAGCTCACTGAGTCTCACCTGACAGGACAGACCAGACCCAGAGTTCAGAGCAGGTTAGAAGTCATGGCATGCAAGCTCAGCTACCAGGGGGATAAATCGGGTGGATGTAGATTATAGACAGACAAGTAAGAGACAGATGGCAATTAATACGGTTCAGGAATAAGCCACTGTTTCATATATTCTGGCCTCAGAATGGTCAGTCTGATTGGGTCTAGGGAACTGCTCACTCAAGGCTTCAGTTAGTCCTGTTTGGAGTCATACCAAGTGTCCCGGATGTTGGTCCAGTCCCACACAAATAGGACCCTTGTATGCAACTACCCCCCCCATTTTCCTCCTCCTCCTCCTCCTCCTCCTCCTCCTCCTC